TTCCCTACAAAATTATCACTAAAGAAAGTGTCTACATAATTGTTACTGTTAACAAAGATAATGATTTCCTTTTAGAACCTATTATGTTTAACAAATCTAGATATAATGAGTTTCCTTGCATACAGGGTTCTGACAATGTTGACCAAGGCATCACAGTAGCAGAATTTGTTGAAGAAGTTAACCAAAACCAGCAACATGAAGGGAAAAATATTGAATATCAGGGAATTACTAATGAAGAGGAAGTTGAAGCTTAATAGAGCCAAAATATGGAAGTCAAAAGATCTACAAGAGAGAGAAATGAACCTACATATCTTAAAGACTATGAATATTCACTTCCTAAAATGAATATCATTAGTTCTACTTCCAAAACTATACCCTTTTCTAACATTAAAACTTTCAAACACATCATGTGTAACTTTATTTCTTATGATAAATGTTCATCTAACTACAAAAATTTTTGTCTTTCAGTTTGTTCAAACAAGGACTCTGAAAGCTATGAAGAAGCTATACAACAAAGTTGCTAGATAGATGTAATCAATTCATAACTAAAGGCTCTCAAGCAAAACAAGACTTGGAAACTTTGCCATCTGCCTCCCAATAAGAGAGTTGTTGGATGCAAATGGGTTTTCAAAACTAAAAGAAAGAGTGATGGTTTAATAGAAAGATACAAGACCATATTAGTGGCCAAAGGATTCACTTAAACTGTTGGCCTTGATTACATTGAAACCTTCTGTCTGATGGTCAAGATGACAACTATAAGAATTTTATTATCTATCACTACTACTTTTAGGTGATATTTACATCAATTAGACGTAAATACGACCTTCTTGCATGGAGACCTCAAAGAAAAAGTCTACATGAAGGCTCCTAATAGGTTAAATGTCAATGATACTTCTCTAGTTTGTAGGCTGACCACCAAATCTATATATGGTCTGAAACAAGCTAGTAGAGATGGCACAACAAGTTTACCTTTTTTCTTGTGAAAAATGACTATAAAAAGTCCTTTGCTGACCATTCTTTATTTATAAAATCAACAACCATGGACTTTACTGCCTTACTAATATATGTGGATGACATTTTACTAGTAGGAAATAGCTTAAATGAAATAGAGGAAATTAAAAGAAGACTTGATAAAGAGTTCTCTATTAAAGACTTGGGAAATGCCAGATATTTTCTAGGAATGGAAATAGCAAGATCCAACGAAGGAATACAACTCTACCAAAGAAAGTACACTATTGATCTACTAAAGGGATGAGACTTGGTAGATGCCAAACCAGTTTCAACTCTTATGGACTATCATGTCTAGCATCATGTAGAGAATGGAAATATTCTAGCAGAACCAAATTGCTGCAAAAAATTGACAGGGAAGCTTCTATACCTTACTCAAACTAGACCTGAAATTTGTTATAGTGTACATAAATTGAGTCAATTTATTCAATCACCTTCTGAAAATCATTTTTTAGTAGCAAAAAGGATCTTTAGATTCATTAAAGCATAACCATGAAAATGACTATTTTTTCCTAAACAAACAGATTTGATTTTGAGAGGGTTTGTGGATGCAAATTGGGCTGGATGTCAAGAGACTAGGAAGTCCATCACTGGATTTTGCTTTTACATATGATCAAGCCTTATATCCTAGAGAAGCAAGAAGCAAGCAACCGTGTCAAAATCCTCATCAGAATCAGAGTATAGAGCCCTTAGTCAAATAGTTGCTAAAGCTTAATGGACTCACTACATCTTAATGGATCTAAAAGTTAATCAGTCATAGTAATCTATTTTGTGACAATCTATCTACTATATATATTACTATATTGTTCCTCTTAATTTCTTTAATGTTTGAGAAAAGAAATGAAAAATATACATGTTGTAACACAAAAACGTCTTCAAACTAATAAAAATGATACATATATATTAATTGTTAACCAAATAATAAATAAATATAATATATAAATTAATTAATTTGTCTCAAGTTGATTCAAATTTTAAATGTGTAAATTCGACATTCGAATTAGTTCAGTTTATATTGTAAGATTTATTGGATTGCTTCGGAAAAAAAAAACACTCCTAATTTTTGTACTAAGGTACAAATTACATAAATTTGATAAAAAGAGAGCAACACAATCGTATGCACTATTTTTTCAAGGGATTTTCACTAGAGTGAAGCTCTTACACTAGTTGTCCAGCGGTGTCTCAGTTGTTCAGTGAGAGTAGCTACACATAATGCTTGTTTATGCCAAAAGAAAAGAAGAAAAACGCAATATCCACTATAACTTGAACAAAAGGTATAGGAAAAAAAAAAAAAGACTTTTTTAAGTTGTAATATCTTTTTGTCTATAATGCCACTGAAATTCGAACACCGAGATCCAATCTAGTAACATTGCAATTGTGCAATAGTAGTTACTCACTGTCACTTGAATTTGACTCAATGGGACACAAATCTTCAACAATTTTGGCATTACTTTCAAAATCAAGCAAAATGGTCATTGCTTTGTTCTTTCTTTTAGCGCTACCATTTCAGTCCAGTTAGATCCTATGAGTGATTTAATATCGACTTCGGTGAGGGATTTTGGGCTGTCATTTATGAACACTGATTTGAAGGTGTTGCTGATACTGCAATCATTCGTCTTTTATGAACACTGACTTGAAGCAAATTTGTAAACTTAGAAATAGTGTAAAGTTGCCAATTATAGGCAAATACAAGTTGTAATAAATATTTACATTCGAATTTTCTATTAATAAATCTAAGGATAAAAATATAATGAGCTTTGTTTTCAATGAATAAACAGATCAGACCAATTACTAGCGTGTTTGTTTAAACAAAAACAAACATGACTTACATCATGTGCAGCAGCAGCAGCAGCGTTGACATATACGTGGCATGTGATGATTGGATAACTGTGAGGAACAAAAGAACTGAACAAGGGTGTCCCTCCCACACGACACCTAAGTTTTTGTTTTCTGTTATCCTGGTCTTACAAATAACCTTGCCACCAAAAACATCTCAATTCCGAACACAATGAGTAATTACCAGAGAGCACCACAAGAGTCATATCCTCCTCCAGGTAAATCAAACGAAACCCTTTTCTTCATTTAAAATTTTTGCACTTTTTTCTTTCTTCTTAGTTCTTAACACATCTTTGTTTTGAATTTCAACCTAGGCTACGCTCCTCCTTATCCCCCACCACAGGCTTACCCGCCGCCGCCGGGGTATTCGCCGTACCCGCCACCGCCGCCGCAGCCGCAGTACGAAGGTTACCAGGGATATTTCAATCAAGGCTATCCTCCGCCACCTCCCCATTACCACGTTCAGCATCACTACAATGGTAACTCCGGTTTTGCTTCCTTCTTCCAAGGGTGGTACGTTTTTTTTTTTTTTTTTTTTTTTTTTT